TTAAAAAAAAAAAAAAAAAAAAAAAAAAAAAGAAAAAAGAAGCCGAATGAAGCGGCGTGTACAAGAGAGAAACGGTGGCGCAGCCAGTGTGCAAGGTTTCACGGAGATCAGTTGGGTAATTCTTTTCGACGGTAATCCGCTTGCAGCGTCGCAGGAAAGAAGCTTAGGGCAACATCTCGCACATTGAGAGCGCTTTTCGCCGCTTTAAACGACGGATCAACCGAAACGCCGCGATCAAGAACAATCAGCTACCGAGTCCTCTCGATTATGACAGTTCAGAGCCTAACTCCGGCGTGCATCTTTGCCACCTCGGAGCTACTTGTAGCGGATGAGACGATTATTCTCTAAAGAGAAGATTTTTCGCGATTTATAATTTTGTCTACGTTTAATCTACTGGCTGTATCATTTTAGCGAGCTGTTTACTTCGAATGTGGTATAAGTCAGGGGATGGATCGCTTAACTAAATTTCGCAGAAATTTTAGCAAAATTAAAAAAATTAGTATTTTAATACGTGACAAACTTATATCCAAGAATTGCTTTCGAATAAATTTCAAACGCTTGCGTTTAGACATTTCATTAATTTGAAAATATCATTAGAAATGTTCTCTATAAATGTTCAGATTCACAATGTTGCGCTCTTTTTATTAAATACAAATACTTGTGCAACAAATTAGGGATGCGACTCTGTCTGTAAATGCAGAGACAATCTTCTCTTTCGATTGGACACCTGGCTTGCAACTTTGCCTTGGTGTACGATCAGCTTTAAACTTTTTGATTTTCTCGAAAAAATTTCGTTCCTTTTCCTCGATTTATTTTAGAATTATCCTGCACTCGATTGTAACTATCGACAAGTAGAGCTCTTCTCGACTGTTGGCATCAATTTTTCACGGTCGGTGAAATACTTCGATTTAAAAATAAAATAAACCGCTCATATCTGCAATTCAAACAACGAAGACAACTAAAAGACTTGATTATTTTGCTCGTTAATGCAACGGACCCGTGCAATATTGCAAAAGCCAAAATTGCAATTCACAAATAAGGTAAGCTGTTACACTTGAAACGAACGAATCATTTTGTGTGGGCCAAAGCACGTTCTCTGTCCATTTGCAATTTGCGTCGTTCGTACTTTAGCTGAGTTTTCGTTAACGTTAGCTGGATTCCATGTTGAAACTAACAATAGGACTATCAGAGCGAACAGTAAAACTCTTCGATAACCGGACTGTTATCATTTCCTTTTTTTTTTTCATAAAATTAACTTTTTTTCAGCTTCGGAAAGGCTAGTTGCAAGAATCAAATGGTTAAAATGCTAAAAATAGTATTTTATTTTATTGCTGAGCTACTTGCAATTGTATTAGCATCATTCGTTTTAATGATGAAAAATGTATGCACGATATGTTACTGAATTATATACGATCCACTATGATTTATTATCTTCCTGCCACCGGAAACTTCATAATGTCATCTGTACGAAACTTCTGGGATTTGCCAGAGAAATGTAACCGAGGTACATTCTTATGTCATTTATCGAGCCAAACTTTTTACTTAGCAGAGGTTTCCTCCTTTCTCTCTGAATGAAAGAAACAAGGCAAGAATATCCTTCGTCCGATTTTTTTTTTTTTTATTTATTTCTTTCGTTAAAAAACGAGATCAATACGCACACTGCAAGTTTCCAAGACTTACTAATCACTGAGCTGGAAACGTGAGGATCACACAGTTTCAGAGTTTCAGAATTACCTGCCAGCGAGAGGCGAAGCGTTCGCACGCGCTTTTTAATCGCCTGCACGACGATTAAAAGCCCTTTAGCTGGCCGAGCGGCGAGCTGAGCTCGCATCGGCTGCTTGATAAGCGGGATTCCGGCGACGTGCCGATAATGCAAAGTTCCGCGCTCCCCGAAACCGGCGAAAGAGAGGAGAGGGCTTATCGGTGGAAGAGAGGTCGGACCCCGCACGTTGCACATCGCTGCTTACATCGATAAGTGCCTCGAGCGATCGTGTCGCGAGCGATCGCCGCGCTCTGTTTGAATACCTGATCACCTGAAAACGCTTCGAGTACCGAAGCAAGTGTGAGCAACCGTTTCGAATCGGCGACTACGGTCGAAAAACGGGGGCGAGATTTTCAATCGAAGCACACGCACGCACACGAGATCGATGGATAATCGGCTTTCGACGAACCGCGCGCGACGATCGTCGTCCCGTGGAAAGTAACGATATCGATAAACGAAACGTTTCGAGAGTTCTTCGGCCAGATCGCGGACAGGATAACGAGCTCGTTTTACGTGTACAGAGGTCCCGTGCAGCTTGTGCGAACCCAGAGAATCGGTCACGGATTAGTCCGCGAAACTTCAGCAACGGGTCGCGAAGAATATTTCTCTGTCGATCAATCTGTTGTTTCAGCGTCAAGCAATTCATTGCGAATTGAGGTTAGCGAGGTTAACGAACTACCTTTTCGATACTAACGACGGCTATAGTCATTCATAAAAAATTACTATATTACTATAAGCAGTTTTATAAAGCAAATTACTATCAAGAATTACATATTATATATTATATAAAAAGTTTTATAAAGAATTATAACTGTACGAAATGCAAAAAGAGATTTTGATCTTGAAAATCAAGGTCAAGGTCAATGTTACGCCAGCTACGCATTTTTATCGAATCGAAGGTGCAGAATTCATCTATAATAACCACGGGCAAACTTTTCTCTCCACCCAGATTGTGAGCACAGCGCCGGTGACATTTGGAAAATCTCGTTTGAAAAATCCTCGATCGGTTACTAGCTTGCCGGTCGGACGACGTCCGTGATGAATCGGCCTTGGCCGAAGGGTTCTCGCCGACAAAAACCGTCTTCTCACACCCTTTCGTCGGCGTGAAGTCGAAAGCGAGCCAGCGACTGGAAAAAGGGTTAAAAACGACACAGAGGAAGAGAGAGAGAGAGAGAGAGAAATAGAGCACACAGGTCGATACGTTTCGAATTGTGTCGAGTTGATGTACGACGCACACACAAACACACAAACACACGAGGCTTTGGGTGGAGTGGTGGAAGGAAGCGGCCGGACGATGGACAGATGCAACTGCTATAACCGTGCACCGGAATGGAAGCCAATAATTCTTTGTGCCGCGAGCGGAGGAGGCGCGTGCGGCCGCTGATAGCGGCCTCGCGTTCTATATAAATTGCATCGTTTCCCTTCGACGGTTCATCACGAGCCAGCGAGCGCGTTCTATTGATTAGCAGTTCAATTATTGGCAACGACTGTTGCTCAGTTTTCGTCCCCCCCCCCCTTTCTTTCGCCACTAGAATTCTCCCGCAATCGCGAGAACGAGTTATTCCGATTATTAACGCGGAATCGCGTAGATAAGGCAAACGGCGACGAATTTTTACCGACGATTTACACTCGCGCGTGTCGTGTATAAAGCACGATAGCAGGATATAAAGACGAAGGAGGCGGAATAATTCCGCGATTTTTTGAGAGAGTTGTTCTTTGAGCGGCGCCAGTCGATAAGCCGTGAATCATTGGATTCCGCTGTGCTCGGATGCCGCGGTTTATGGACCAAACGCAACAAACGCCCGGTGTATTCACGGTGAAATCCGATCTCAACTCTGGATTTAATCCTAGAATATTCTCTGGATTTGAAAAAGGCAGAGGACCAGGTACCGAGAATGGCAACACCGAATAATTACGCGTAATTATTCCATCTATTTGAACGAAATATTCGCCGAAATATCCTTAATTAACCACCAAAAAAAACGGTCAAAATTACCAATTTGTAGTTTTTGTTGAATATCGAACTAGATGTAAAGCACACAGCGTATTTTTAGAGATTATAAACGATCGTTCGTAAAAAGTGTACTTTGTTTTCCTTACTTCGACAACTCAGATGGAAATTTTATGTTTCATTTATCGCCGGTAGTTCCAGCGTTAAATAAAAGAAGCAAACCTCTGTCAATTGAATCCAGTCGCGAGCAAAAGGTTCAAAATATATATCACGCGAAAGACAGACAAACTCTATATATAGATATACAAATGGAATTCCACTGTATCAGAAAATCGTCCGAATTCTGAAAAATGGCCCAAAAACCAGATTTGCCTGATTCTAAAAAGAAAAAAACCTGAATTCGCGAAACCTGCTCGGAGCAACGAAATCGCTCCATCAACGACGATGGTACAAGAAAATGGCATCAGCGAGACAACGAGAGCGTGCAGAGTTGCTTCGTCGTCGCACGAGTATCAAAAGCAAACGCGCATTCATCCGCGCGTATCAGAGTCGCTGCACGGCACACACATATTACTGATTATTGCGACGAGCCTCGAGGATCCGGCGGATACGACACCGCTCTGCAGTTTCGGTATCAGTCCGCGCGCGTTAGTTGCATCGCGACGAGTGTCAGATAGCGAGCGAGCGAGCATGCGTGCGCCATTAAATTTACCAGCGTGGAACATCTCAAGAATTCCGAGCGGATCGCTGCGAGATTCGTGGAAATTTTTTTGTTTTTTTTATTATTATTATTTAAGAGCATATATTCCGATCATTTCTCCCGGAGAAATATATATATACAGGACAGGCCAAAAGTCACTTCCTACAAAAATAAATCCATAATTCTTGTATTATGTGTGGTGGTCGATATTTGAAAATAATAATAAACAATTTTTAAAACATAATGAAAATATGAACTTAAATTTCAGTTAAAATTAATGAGATTAGCTTTCTTTTATGTTTCTTATAATATGTTTTATTAAAAAAAAAAAAAAAAAATACGGAAGCGTAATTATTACACGATGTTTCATTACATGTATGGGTGAATGTTCTATTTTAATTGAATCTACTGCGTAGTTCGAGAGAGAAATTCTATCGAATTCTATTCTTCTGAAATTCAGCGGTCTGTCTGCTGTTAGATATTGACCAACTATAATTAGACTACAGATAGAGCATGTATGTGCAATTTGTTTGGCTATAATTAAAAACTAGAATATAGACTAATATGTAAAATTTTACAATCAGAACGATACTTTGACTTTTGCAAATTACACATTTAATACCTCTAATGTGAAGTCTACAGTTTAATAATTTATTTTTATAATAAATAATAACAAACTGATCATTTTAAATTATATTTTTACATTCCAAATTACATCACTGTGTTTTAAACGATAATTCTAATAAATAATTTTAACAAGTAATAACGAATAATAATAAACAATAACAAATTATAATTTCAAATCATTTATATTTAAAGTGCTTTCTTTTTTCAACGTTTGAATAAAAGATTTGGAAAATACGAAGGATAATGGACACGGGGACAAGTATTTCTGACGAGAGAGAACGTGTTGACTTTTGAATGGCTTCTTGTAATGGTGATGGACAGGAACGTTGGATAGATAGCGAATAATGTACGAGATGTTTAACGAAAAGCGAGCCGTTTTATGTAACGACGCGTAAAGATGCCGGATTTTAGTACTCGTTAAAGCAAGGCAGTAACAGCGAGTTAGTGACTCGGAGTTTCTAATTATCTCTCGCATTTCTCGAAGTTTTAGAGTCACTAAAGGTGCATGTATCTTTTTCATTAGGGAACACAAACTGATAATAAACTGTCTCGCAACATATGTAAATCTGTATATCCACCATTATCATTGTATTTATATCATCCATCTCCATCTGTTGATTTTATCAATTTTTTCAACAACTCATGTAACTGCAATTCCATCAATTTTAGGATCATCAAATTTTTCATTCTGCAACTATTTTTCACAATAAAAAATTTTTCTTTAAAAATTTATGATCAAATTAATTTATTTCCATGATCGATTTCCACTACTGTTATTTCATTAATTTTATCATTACCAGTATTAGCTAGAGCAATTATATAATAAATTACTATATTATTATTTGATTGAAATTTTAATACATCATTTTTTGATCCTATCGGAGGAGGAGATTTTATGTCAACATTTATCTTGATTTTTCGGACATCCAGAAAGTTTATATTCCAATTTTACCAGGATCTGGATTAATTTCACAAATTGTTATAAATGAAAGACGGGGGAAAAGGAAATTTTTCGAAATTCAAGAATAAATTTATGCAAAATTAGGAAATGGATTTTTTTTAAAGGTTTTATTGTTTGAGCTCATCGCGTATTTACTGTTGGATTAGATGTCCCTCCCGTCCTATCGAATGAAAATTTTGCAACAGAAATGCAAATTTTGTAAAAGAGATGAAAATCTCCGAGTTAAATTTGTATTCGTCAAATCTGTCAAGTTTGTATATTCAATTGGGAAGCTAACTGTACGATGGACAATTAGAGGAGAGGCAAAGTGTGCAAACAAATTCGAGAGTTCGTCAAGTAGAATGTGACGACGTGGTCAGACAATCGCTTTTGTACCACGCAACACGTCAATTTCTTACACGAACATTTCACAAAGAAATCGTAATTCGCAATTTCGCAGTTGCAGCAACGTGGTTTCAATCAACCTGGAAACCAGAATATACGAAGCAAGATGAATTTAAATTTAAACAAGCCAGCGATCCAAGCAGGCCGAGTTCCAACAGATTCGGGCATCTGGAGTGATCTGGATCTCGATGCGTGATGGATTCAGAAACGCGGAACACTAATTTCATTATAGTAGAACATCCTCCGTAGAGAGAAGTGAGGAGAGAGAGCTCAAAGAGTTAGAGAAATTAGAGGATCGACTGATATCTACGATTTAGATTGCCCCTCTAAAAGCTCTCGGATAGTGGGCTTTGATCTTCGGTTCTAATGAACCCGGATCAAAGATCGCCGGCAAGATCCTGAACAGAGCCGAGTAGCCTGCAAAATTCAAACACTCTCGAAACGTCAAATTTGTCTTCTCTTTGACAGATCTGGAGAGAATCTACTACGATTTACTATTTTTTTCAAAAATATATTGTTATTTTATTATCACTATATTATTATTGTATCTATTAAACAAACTTATTCGTTTGTCTCTCCCTCTCTCTCTCTCTCTCTTTCTATAAAAATCTCTTGAAATTGAATAGTTTATCATTTGTCTAAAATTTTTAGCCCCTCGAGTCTCTCTCCTTAGCAATTCCAATTTCGCATCGCGTTGCCAAAACTCTCTCTCTCTCTCTCTCTCTCTCGTCAGGTGAGGTCTCTTTGAAGCTCCAAGAGTGAGCAATTCTCCCTCATCCGGCGGCCAACGAATCTTATCAGCGAAGGCTTTATCAACAGACAACTCGCCTGAGTCTGATGGCCGGCTAATTTTTCCACCGATTCTGCTCGATTCTTATCACGCGACGTTCCAAGCAAAATATCAGACTCGTGACGCACACACTGTCGACTCGAAAACCTTTTTTCTGTTTTTGACGACAAATAGATAAATTAAAAGTAGATTTTTATGATGTATATATATAAAAAAAAAAAAGAGGAGGAAAGAATTTTTGTCAGGCAATAAAATAAACACGCGGTTTTTTTTTTTAGTTCCGCGGAAGTTTGCGAATCTCGTTTTGCGGCGAATATAAATACATTTGCAGAGGCTGGGATAATTTATTTTTCAACTTTCGCGCGATGGAGTTGCACCACGTTTGCGCGTTCAAATATCTACGTGTAAATAATTCTATTTGATCATCTCGACCGAGTATCAACGCGTCGTATTTTACGTCGAAAAGCTCCGCGCTGACCAAATTCGGACAATGAATTACATTTCTTTTCTCGATTAAAAATTTCGAGGGAACGCGACACGAGCGTCGATGAAATTAAACAGCACTCGTCCTTTGACTTAGACTTTCTCTTTTTATAATTTACTCAACTTTTTACAATTATCATGAACATTCGGTGTTGTACGATGCGACATGATAACATAGCAGTACAATATTTAAACAGACGCGTAGAGTGAAAGCTATAATAACGACGTAAGAAGAACTCAAAAGAATTTGAGGGAGAAGAAGAAATTTCTTAAGTCAATTGACACTCAGTAATACACATGATCCGGGACAATTCGCATAAGCTAGATTTCTTACGAAAGTTGGAAAAATGACGGAGGATATTAATGTTTCCAAAGTATTAACTCTTGTTTCTTCAAATCAGCAATGCACGTTTCGATTGCTTCGAAATTTAAACGACGTCACAACGTTAGAAAGATATATAATCGGCAAGATTTCGCGTTAAATACCGATTCGAATAAATTGCTGGTAGATGCACACTAGAAGTTAAGAGTTCACCGAGGGCGAACGTCCCAATTATAAATGGCCATCATCCGCGCCGTTTGATGTTTCAGCTTGACCGTGGAAACCGAGGCTCACTAATTTCACCACAGGATTCGACAGAGCGTCGTTCCGTTCCGGGAGGGGAGCCGTTTTCGCACGATGTCTCGGCCGATTCGTCAAAGTCCGCCGGTTGAAAGCTTTCACGCTCGCGTGGGAAGCTTTGTCGAGGTCTCGCAGCTCGAGACGAGAGCGTTCTCAATGGGGCTTCTCGTGCAGAGCGAGGGCGGCTGCTTCGCACGAGCGATATTTGTGGACACGGGTACACATCGAGAATCAGTGAAACCGCGGAGAGAGAGAAGAGAGAAGAGCGCGCGACAGTGTTCGTTACACGCTGGATGGATAATTCATCCAAGTTCGCCCCCCTGAGGATGTATCGCTGTTACTCGCATCGGTAAACGTACGAAAATCGTGGATCAGCCGTAGCCAACTTACCCCAGAGGATCCGATAATCTCGCGCGTCCACCAGATGTGCACCATACTGGACGAGAGAGATTATTTTTCTCGAGATTACACCCTATTAATTTTATAATTTTATGTCTCACGACAGAGAGAAAGAGAAAAATTTTACGAACGATTCGCTATTCGTCGTATTTCTATGCAACCGAAGTAAGAAAATGAGATTCTTTCAAACTAGCGTTCTTCTTTGGGTAATTTGTATATTTCTGTGCATCCGGTTGAATATTTTATCCAAGCTTCTATTTCCCTATGATCTTCGCTGGTGTAATATCTCATGTAATGTGAAATAGTAAATGGTAATTAATAATAAGATGCATAGAATACATGTATTCTCTTTAATAGGTAATGAAATATTTAATAGGTTCGAAATTTCGGTCTAGATACTATCATCTTAAAAAAAGAAAGACAAAAAATTCACATTCTATCTATAACATAAAGTATAAAATTTTCCAGTAAATATGCCGTAGACATTGAAGGCTAACACAGTGTACGTCTCGCAGGCAACATTTTCAATTTTCACTGGTGTAATATAAAATAATAATTAATAATAAGATGCATAGAATACACATATTAGAAATATTTAATAGATGAAATCTGAGTTTAGATATCATCATCTTAAAAAAGAAAGACAAAAAATTCACATTCTACCTACAACGTAAATACAAAATAAAATACAAAATTTTCTAATAAATATGTTGTAAGTAGACATTGACACGATGACGACTAACACAGTGTACGTCTCGCAGACAACATTTTCAATTTTCACTGCTGTAATATCTCATGTAATATGAAATAATAATTAATAATAAGATGCATAGAATACACGTGTTAGAAATATTTAA